CAGATGCAGAAGAACTGATGGTTTCATTTTCTAACTAGCAGGAAGCATGATCTTTTATCTACATACAAGTTGTGGCTGAGTTGTGGGACAGAAGAGGAAGATGCATATTCATCTGGAAATGAGGTGAAAAGGAGTGACAGATGAGAAGGGAGTGACAGAGATGTGACAGGGAGAGAAGAGCAAGGCACAACAACTTCAGAATTCCAACAAATCAGATATCTGAGAAGTGTGTTTAAAGAAAGAGGCTCCCAACTTCTTAGACCCCCCCGTCCGAAATTTATAAATGTAAAGCCCACCGTCGCGTTCAACCTTCCGACCCACAGCTCGGTCTCCTCAATAAAAACTGTACATAGCCTTGGTAAATCCGGGTATGTACGAGTAGACAGTGGAACACGTTTTGTTGCACATATCAACACGGCCTGTCTGTTCCACGCGATCAATTCTTGTTGCATATGTTCAACAGTAATGTACAAAATGCATAATTCTCCACCTACAAAACCAAATCACCGAGTGTTTGTTTTTTGTTTGATTTGTACAGTCTCCTCCCAGATGTTTATGGCAGTTGGATTACTTAATTTAAAAAAAATATACTCATTCTTTATTTCCCATTTTTTGGGGAGTGGTAGATAGGGAGATGATAAACAAGAGTATGAAACAACAGAATAGGAAAAGTCATTGCTTGACATTTTTAAAAAATAAAAGCAAAATTCAATTTTTTTTTTTTCTTTAATAATTTTTTTAAAAATAAAACAAAACAAGGGGAGTTTAGCTGAGATGCAGGAGATAATGATTATCAAAAAAAAATTAAAAAAAATGAAAAATTAAATATTAAAAATCAATATTCACTTGGCCCACCAGACCAGCTGGGGAGGTGTCGGCGCGGAAACGGCGAAGGAGTCGGTCGTCAAGCTCGGACGAGGTTGACGGCGCGGCTTGCGTCTGGGCGAGGTTTCGGTGCGGCTACTGCTTGATTCAAAGCCCCCCGGCGGAGGAGTCGGTCCTCAAGCTCGGACGAGGTTGACAACGCGGCGTGCAGCTACCAGAAGATTCAATGCCTCCTGAAAAAAGGCGGAGGAGTCGGTTGTCAAGCTCCGGTTGGTTGGCCAAACAAACGACAACGCGATAATTTATGATCGTTCACCTTGGAGGCGACGAGCAAGTTGGATATCCTTGGGCTGGATCGTCACACGCTTGGCGTGAATTGCGGCCAAGTTGGTATCTTGAAACAAACTGTTCAGGTCATACAAGACAGGTTAGTGGGAGCGAACAAGGAGGGAGAAGAGTGAGATGGCGACATACGATACAAGGTAGGCCTGTCTGGGCAAGGTTTCGGCGAGGCTACCAGTAGATTCAATGCCTCCCAAAAAAAACGGTGGAGAAGTTGTTCGTCAAGCTTGGACGGGGTTGACGGCAGTCGGGATGGATGTTGACAAGTCGGGATGGATGTTGATCGGTGAGTGACACAAGCCGGTGAGGGGTAGGTGTCGGCCGATGCTGATGTTTGGCTCAGTTGGCTCTTCAGTCGACCGCCCTTCCGGATGTAGTGCTGCGCGGGCTCAAGTGGACCTGTGACAGGTTTACCCCCAGACATAAACATCTGGGAGGATACTGTACAAGAGCAGTGTAGTTTTTTGTATCGCAGTTGAAAAAAGACATGGAGATAACTTGTAGACAGATTGAAGCACAGACAAGTTGCCATGTGGATCGATTGTGCACCTTCGGTTGAGGCTATGTTAGCTGTATCTGAAGAGTCCGCTGCTAAACATAGCATCGATAGTGTTACATAGAGCCGAGTCCGGAGTTTACACGAGAGCCCGATAAGACGGGTTTTGTTTCGATTCCCAGCTTCTCCAATTGCGGAGCCTTCTGAAGACATGGCAATAGATGGGTCATGGGGCGGGGGGATGTATCGATGGATGGGCGCTGGTCTGATGAGTCTGATCAGTTGACCAAAGTCAGCTCCGATCACTTAACTTGCGAGTCTTCACTCATGAAGGGTAACTATGGTAAGAATTGTTATTGCAACATAATACGCACACCGTCGATCATGGTCATGAAGTGGCCATCTGCGCCTTTCGTCTTGTGCGATCATTTCACATCCGATCAGCGGAGCGGCTCACATGGCTAGCCATGATCAGGTGCATTTTTTGGGGTCAGCAAGCCCGAGCCTGAGCTGAAGAGTGCACACCATGTGCATGTTCTACCCGGAATGCGGATGTTGAGGACTGAGGTTAGGGTACGACACTCATGAGGGGGTTTGGCTTGAGTTTTTCGCTAGCCCCCTTCCAGCCTGACACCTTTTCCGTCGGTTCCTCCTGCCTGCCCGGCTGCCCTTCCCTTCTCTCTCCCATCCATATCCTTGGTGTGCTCTCCCCATCCCATCAGGCTTGACACTTTTTTCACTTCCATTTTCTTTTTTGAATCCGATTCAGAAAAAAAAAGGAAACCAAAAAAATATTAAAATCCAAAAAACTCGCAAAAAAAAACTAACAAAAACTAAACAAAAACCTAAAAAAACAACAACATAACATAACATAAACCCAATATAACAACCAACACAACCCTACCCTCACTCCTTCTCCTCCAGAAGCCACCCCCCTCTTCAGACCAAGTTTGACTTTCTTTTTTTTGTTCCCCCTATAAAATCGAAATCTTACTCTTCTCTCGCCGTCTTCTCTCTCGACTACCCGCTTTCTTGAAGAAGACCGCAGAACAAAACAAACCAACAAAAAAAAACAACAGAAAAACCACAAAAACCCTCCAAAAAATCAACACCACCAGTCTATCCAACAACCGACTCGATCCCATCCCAGTCCGTTGTTGACCTCTGCTTCTCCCTCCCCCCCGAAGCAAATCAGACTATCAAATTTCGATCGGAAAATCGTCAGTCTCCTTCTTCACTTCTTCTCTCTTCGACTATTTTATTCCAACCCTTCCTCTCTTACCATCGGGAGATCATGAGTGCTGCTCTCCCATGCCTCTATCCCAAATCTCTACCCCCTCCTCCCCTGGTAGAACCGAAGACCTCTTTGTTGGTCTGTGCCAGTTTCACTAACCCAAAGCTTTTACTCACCTTCTTCCGATCCTTCATCCCCACCCCCCCTCCATCATACACCTCAACCCGATCACACCATCACCTACTCTCGACTCATACCGCTGGTCTTGGCTCAGTCTTCCTCGTAAGTCGATCAACTTGCTCTATTCCTCATCTTCTGTCTCATCCCTCCCGTCGCACTCTCGTCATCCTTCTCTCGCCCAAACACCCAACAATTCTCCAGAGATAACAAGGCTTTCGCCCTGCCCTCGCCCTAATCTCATCTTCATCACTTCTTTCCACGCGCCCTTGTCCACTCTCGCAGCTTCCTCAGCTGTCTTTAATTTGGCTCGCCTCGACTGACATCTCCATTTTCTCGTCTCTCCAGGCAAAAAGGAACTTGATCCGGTAGATCTTTTCGTAAAAACCAAAAAAAAAAGTCGAACTCCTTTGACTCGTGTTGCCATGTCTTCTGCCGTTGCTGCCGCTGTTGCTCCGAGTGAAATGCCTGGCTCCGTAAAAGATACCAGTGCCCCAGTTGTTCAAAACAATGAGGTACCGGTGGCCACCAATCCGTCCGTCGAACCCACTCCTGCCGGAGCCCCCGCAGCCAACCCGGCTGCTGCTGCCCCCGCCGTCCCGGTCCAGAACACCTCTGTCCCCTCGTCGATCGCTACGACTACTCCAAACGCCAGTCCAGCCAGCCAACCCAATACCTCCCTCTATGTTGGGGAGTTGGACCCAACGGTCACCGAAGCGATGCTCTACGAGATCTTCAGTATGATCGGACCTGTTGCCAGCATCCGTGTTTGCCGTGATGCAGTCACTCGTCGTTCGCTGGGATATGCTTATGTGAACTATCTCAATGCAGCCGATGGTCAGTCCATCATCCTTCGATCTACCCTCTCTCTTGCTCAAAACACACACTGATCCTTGTACTTCTTCTCCAGCCGAACGTGCCCTCGAGCAGCTAAACTACTCGCTCATCAAGAATAAGGCTTGTCGGATCATGTGGTCGCAACGTGACCCTTCCTTGCGCAAGACCGGTCAAGGTAATATCTTCATCAAGAACCTTGACGAGACGATCGACAACAAGGCCTTGCACGACACCTTTGCAGCCTTTGGTGACATTCTCTCCTGCAAGGTTGCCACCGATGAACATGGTGCCTCGAAGGGCTACGGCTTCGTGCACTACGTGACCGGAGAATCCGCCGAGGCCGCGATCAAGGGCGTCAACGGGATGCAATTGAACGACAAGGTGGTTTTCGTTGGGATCCACGTACCCCGACGGGACCGACAGGCCAAGATCGATGAGGTCCGATCGCAATTCACCAACCTCTACATCAAAAATTTGCCGACTGAAACCACAACCGAAGAGCTCAACGAGGTCTTTGGAAAATTCGGTCCGATCACCTCGGCTGCAGTTCAGTCGGACGAACATGGCAAGCACCGTGGTTTCGGTTTTGTCAACTACGAAAACCACGAATCTGCGAGCAAGGCCGTCGATGCGTTACATGACAAGGATTACAAGGGTAATGTCTTGTACGTCGCAAGGGCCCAGAAGCGGACAGAGCGAGATGCCGAGCTCAAGAAGGCACACGAACAGCAGAAATACGAGACGACCCTAAAATATCAAGGCGTGAATCTTTACGTCAAAAATCTTGATGACGAATATGACGACGAGAAGTTACAAAACGAATTTACGCCATTCGGTACGATTACATCCTGTAAGGTTATGAAGGACGAGAAAGGAACCTCCAAAGGTTTCGGTTTCGTCTGTTTCTCTTCGCCCGATGAAGCCACCAAAGCCGTGGCCGAAATGAACGGCAAGATGTTGGGCTCGAAGCCCTTGTATGTATCGCTAGCCCAACGAAAAGAAGTCAGGAAACAGCAGTTGGAGGCACAAATGTCACAACGCTCACAGATGCGCAGTCAGCAAATTGTAAGTCATGATCGTCTCTCACTTTTTCACAACTCAAGAAGAAGACATTCACTAAACGATAGTCAATTTTTTTTTCTCTGTAGGCCGCTGCCGGTATCCCCGGTGCTCCTTATGGTGCGCCACCCAACCCGATGTACTTTGGCGGTGCAGCGGCTTATCCACCACATGGTGGCCGAGGGATGATGTACCCGCCGAACGGAATGCCCGCCGGCATGCCACCTCGACCTCGATACGCACCCCCGGGACAGATGGCGCCGATGGGAATGCCCGGTGGCGCACCATACCCCCCTCATCCTCAGGACTACCCGGGCTACCCCGTCGGTGGACCTGTGCCTCCAGTCGGTGGGATGAGAGGTATACCCGGCCCTCCCGCCCATCTCGGTGGCCCTAACCCTCCCAACTTCCGAGGTGGCAACGGTGCACCCATCCCTCCGATGAACGGTCGTGGCTCCGCCCCTAGCACTAACGGGCCTGGCTCCATGCGTGGCGCTCCTCCCCAAAGTCGTGATGGCTATGCTCCCTCGTCTCTTTCCGGTCGAGCGGTCAGTCATCGGGTCTCAGATATCGCCCCTGTCGGTCTGAGTCCTGCGGCTCTGGCCAAAGCCAGTCCAGCCGAGCAAAAACGTAAGCGTCTTTCACATCTTTCATTTGTGCTTATCGATATCTGACTTTTGTCGATCGTTTCTCTCGTCTCATTTAGAAATGCTTGGTGAAGCACTTTACCCCCAAATCGCCGAGAAACAACCCGAGAAGGCTGGGAAGATCACCGGAATGATTCTGGAGATCGAGAATGCGGAGTTGATTCATTTGCTCGAGAATCGACCGGCATTGGATGCTAAGGTCCAAGAAGCCGTTCAAGTCTTGGATGAGTATGAACGTAAAGACGCGAAAGGAGAATTTTAAGTTTAATTTTACATTCTCTTGAATCCCAAAACAAAACCCCACCCACCAAATTTTAAGAAAAAAGTAATCACGCAATGGGGAAAGTGAGAGATGATGATAATATAATAAAAAAGAAGAAGAAGAAGATGTAATGGACGCTCCTCCGTCTCCAGTTCCGTAATAGAGTCGCTTCTTTTTTTTCGTTCAATTTAGACTATGTGAATCGATCGATCGTTAGGTGTTTGTTCACTCACCCGTCCCCCCCTCCTCCTCCTCATCCTCCACCACACTTACCCTTACATCCTATCCTTCTTATCCCCTCGATCTTCCCCTTAGACTTTTACACCTCCCCGCTATCTTCTTCTACCCTTGATCTTCTTCTTCTTCTTCTTCTTCCTCATCATCATCTTTTTCTTCTTTTGTCTGGGAAGCTTATCAAGGGGTTTTGTCCGAAACTCTTTCTTTTGTTTCTTTCTCTCCTCCCCTCTCCTCCCCCCCTTTTTTTTCTTTGGTTTCTTTTTGCGTTTTTTTTTTTTTAGATTGTTTTTTGTTTTCTTCTTTTTATATAGTTAATCAATTCATTCAATTCACTTTTTTCTCTTCTTTTTTTTTGGTTGGTGGGCTTTTTTTTTGGAGTGGGTGAGGCTGGGGGTTATGGAATCATCTGTGCATGGGACTTGTGGGTTTTGAGAAGTTATTTTGAGCGGGGGGGGGCAAGGTGAGCCCGATGTTTGAGAATGACTCTTGAAGTGCTCTAGACCCTTGTGGTAAGTCCCGTGATTCTAAGGGCCTGGTGTATGTAGCTGGGCTTGAGCGTAACAAAGCCCGCGAGCACCCGTAGGCGTGAGGTGCAGGCGGGGCTTATGCCGAACTTAACACAAGCCCCTTTCCCTTCTCTCCTGTGGAGTCGCCTACACCACGGGCTCTGGTCGACGGATGCTTGACGGAAAGAATTCCGTAGGCTTGACCCGTACCGCCCCGACGAAAAATTGGGGGTGCTTCATAGCGGGGGGCGTAAATCCCCGCGGTCGGCTTGACCGTTCAACGTCAGCAGAGAATCGGAGCCTGCGCGAAGTGCGGAAAATTTCCGCGCGGATATGGTAGGTTGCGGAATTTTGTACTGAGATGTACAGACCAAGAGAGCTGTACAGACCAACAGGTCCATCCGTATTGGGAGGCGGGTTTTGGACTGGTTTCATCAGTGGGCTGGTGTCGGTCATGTATCATCATGCAATAATAATTAAGGATTTTTGAGAAAATAAGCACGACTACAGAAGCTGCCTGGATCTGTTAGTATGTACTGAGCTATTTGGGAGGGAAGATCGTCGTTGCTCAACAAGCTCAATGATTCGGCGCGGGATTGGTCAGCGGACTAGGAGTGAGCGACGGAGAAGCGGGAGGACTGGCAATGGGCAGAATGAGCAGCGGTACTGTTCCTTCTGACGGAGAGCGACTTTGGGATCCCGGCGCGCTCAAGGACGGTGGGGGTGGAGAGGTCATAGTGCTGTTATTCTCCCTCCATTCTGTCCTCAGTCTTGTCGGCATCCTCATCTGACCCCTCGCGAGGACCACGGGGAGTGAAATCACTACCAGATGCCTTGACCGATGCCGGCCAATCGATCTTGAGCTGATCGAGTTCAGCCATGATGGTGGCCCGCTTCAATAGACTAATAAATCCATCAGACGGGTTGGGCTCGGTCGCCAAGGCCATCAATTTATTGAGGATATGACCAGTAAGCGCTGATATCTGAGCAGCTGAATTCAATGTTCTCCTTTTTTGAGCAATCCATGTTTTTTTTCCTTTGATGCTGTTGGAAAGACCTTTCCGCTTTGGGATTTTGAAACAGATGTGCTAGTAGAAACCTTCCGGAGTATAAGCTGTATTTTCCGCGGTTTCCGCACTTTCCGCACTTTCCACCTTGCCTCGGGGAGGCTCCGATGCTCTCAACGTCAGCTTGCCAGCGGTGGCAAGGCAAGCTTGCGGCAGCTTGACAGCATCATGTCATCATGACAGTTGCTGCACAGCAGCTGGCTGCAGTGCAAAACAAAAACGAAACTTATCTTGGGGCTTGAACTCCCTACCTATACTCGGTACACCATTTTCAACTCATTGTCTGATGATAACATGATAGGAGGGGCTAACCAACTATGGCAATCATGATTTCATACAGCAGTTCCCAGAAAGCTTGCGTTCGCGAGCTCCTGGGGTCCCAACTTTTTTTTTATTTTTGCCACACTTTTATGCGCCTCGGAACCTGTACACATGACTGTACAGGTTGCAAATCTGCTGCCGAGGCCTCGATGGGGCTCCGGGTACCGGGCTCTTGCATGGCAAGGGCTGGCGAGGTGTTGATGTGATGACCGATTCTGACCCAAAAAACTCCCAGGATTCCAACGGTCCAACTCTCAAATCTTCAACTTGGTAAATGTGGGAGTTGGGCCGTAATGCCTAGAATACTTTGGCTGTATGAGCCAACGTACAGGACAAAAAATAAAAGAAAAAGTGTGGCTCAAAAAAAAAAACCTGGATCCCAGGGGCTCGCGACAGCAAGCTTTCTGGGAACTGCTGTACCAGTCTGGCCTGGTTTTGCATATAGATAGATAAAAACTTTCAAATTACCTATAAGATTTTTTTGTCTTAAAGTTTTTTTTTTCTACAAGTTTTTTTTCTGCAAGGTTTCTTCCTTCTGTCTGTTTTCTTATGTTTTCTTTTTCTCGAGGTGGCCACAATCTTTTGGACATGAAAAGGGTGGAGAAAAAATGTCAAAAAAAAGTTTTTTTTTTCTTCATTTTCAGACATGGGGTCAAGCCGACAGTGGGACTTTTTGACCCTGAGGTCAAGCCAACGTTGGAATTACATTTTTCCTACCTAAAATTGACGTTGGCCAGACCAATCCGGCGGGATTGCGTAAAAGGGGTTAAGCCCGACCAGTGCTTGACCGCGGGGTCAAGCCGACGGAGTGCCATTTCCAAAACTCAACCTGTGGTGTATGCTGACTGAAGGGAGGGACTTGCAGGAAAGCGGGCCAGAATGGGGTGAGAGCCTGAGTGGCTTGAAATGCATTTGGCAGGTGAAAGATTTCAGCACCCCAAAAAACCACCTTCCCATTACTCCCTTGCATCACTGTTGAGGCCATTTTGAAACTGGACTTCTCCTCTCTGATCCTGGGCTCCCATTTGCCTGTTCGTTGTTTGATGAGATGTTGAGAACCAATGAAGATTTTGGGTATTTTGTTGCTGTTTTTTTTTGATCATGTAAATAAGCGATTGAGGAAGTATTCTTCTCACCGTTTCTGGATTGTCTATGTTCCGCAAAGCTCTGGACCAAAGTACTGGCCTGTAGATGTACAGGTTCTTACAGCTCTCTGTACCGACAAAACTATGGACTTCTCATCGCCTTTTGCCTTTTTTTTGTTTGTTTGTGCTCTCTAATTTTTCTTTCTGTATTTCTAAATGGAGGGATGAAGGTCATCTGCAACCGGATTCCTCTGAAATTCTATGAGCTGATGCGCACTGGCCAGCCAATGCCATGGCCTTGACTTGAGGGCAGTCACTTTGGAAAAAAAGGCTGATCTTTAAAAGAATAAAAACCAAAAAAAAGGCAATACATGCCTTGGAAGATGGGGCCCTCAGGCCTCCATTCCTGTCTTCCCTATAGGCCTCTCTGTGAGACAGAGACCTTGTGGGGTCCGTAGGGTGGCTCTTGAGAGGCCTTGTTAAGCTCGGGCTTATGCCTGACCAACACAAGTCTGCATGAGGCTATGTCCAGAATAACTGTAGCATTATTTCCTTTTTCAATTTTAAAATCGTTCTAATTTTTGCCACTCTTGCTACTCTGCCCCAGTAATACGTTACCATCCTGTTGATGTTTCTGTTTGTTTGGATTCTTACTGAAAAAAATTTGTTCAAGCCGTACGATTTTTTTGAAATAAGGGTCCGATTGTATTTTAATCGGACCTTTAATGTTTTCTTTTTTTTTTTTAATTAAGTTGACCGTTGAAATACAAAACTCGGATCATAACATGTAATATAACTTAGGGGCTTGATAACTACACGCCATCCCCCCTCGCACACGCCCGCCCACACGCCAATTTTTTTGGCGTGTGGGTGCACACGCCTTTCGCATCCTGGCGTGTCCCTGCACACGCCAGCGGTCCACAGGGTCCAAACCCTGTTGGCTGGCGTGTGCAGGAGCACGCCAGCGGACCTCGCTCCAGCTCATCGGGAGGGTTTCCTCCTGATGAGCTGGTTGTAAGCCCAGTTCATCGGGAGGGTTTCCTCCCGATGAGCTGGACAGTGTACCAGTTCATCGGGAGGGTTTCCTCCCGATGAGCTGGACAGTGTACCAGCTCATCGGGAGGGCTTCCTCCCGATGAACTGGGCTTACAACCAGCTCATCGAGAGGTTTTCCTCCCGATGAGCTGGTACACTGTCCAGCTCATCGGGAGGAAACTCTCCCGATGAGCTGGTACACTGTCTAGTTCATCGGGAGGAAACCCTCCCGATGAACTGGTACACTGTCCAGCTCATCGGGAGGAAACCCTCCCGATGAACTGGGCTTACAACCAGCTCATCGAGAGGTTTTCCTCCCGATGAGCTGCTACACTGTCCAGCTCATCGGGAGGAAACCCTCCCGATGAGCTGCTATGACTTGATAGTCTTTGGGCTGGGAGGAACCCCCTCCCAGCCTTGTTTTTTTTTTTTTTCCTTTTTTTTGGATTCTACGCTGCCGTCCCATAGGACCCATGCTTGGGTCCTATGGGACGGCGGCGCTCCTAAACGCATATGTATAGGGCGTGCAGGCCTGCACGCCGGTCTACACTCTGTAGATTGGCGTGCTGGCCCGCACGCCAATTTGCTTTGGCGTGCGGTTTGGCGTGCGCAAGGGGGACTGGCGTGCATTTATCAACGCCCTATAACTTATGAGATAACAGAGAGGATAACAGAGAGATATTGAGAGAGAGAGGTCAACAGCAAGAGATCAACAGAGAAAAAATAGAAGAAAACAAAAGAAAGGTCAATAGCAAGAGATTGACAGAGAAAACAAAAAGAGTATCAACAAGAACAAACAACAGAAAACAAAAAACCCAAGCCACATAACACCTCAAAGGTGTCCTTGGTATCATTTTTTTGACATCAAATCTTAATCAGCGGACGTTGGATGAAGCGAGCAATAATGGTTGATCGTCTTGAGGTATGTCTTTGGGAGGGTTTGATGTGTATGAAGCGAAGCAAATGGCCAGATTGTTTTGAGGTAAGTCTTCAGGAGGGTTTGATGCCGGATGAAGCGATAACGAACGGCCGGATGTCTTGGAGGTGAGTCTTCCGGAGGGTTTGATTTATGTGGAACCGGGCCAGATGAAGCAATAACAGTCACAAAGTGAAAAAAATAATTGTTATAAGCAAGTGTTATGCCAGAGGTCCAAAAGGTTGAAAAAAAGAGCAAAAGGAAAAAAAAGGTTTATGCCAATAAGCGGCAAAATTAAAATTCCAGTACCCAAAATTTGGGAAGCTTAAGCGGGCATGATGGGGACAAGAGGTCCAAATTTTGAGTAGACAGAATTAACAAGAATATCTATAAGCTTCATTGTTTATAAGGACAAAGAAACTAGGTTGAAACTTGTGGTGCTATGGTGGAATGAGAACCTTCACCACCAAAAATGGATCATAGCCTCACGGCATCATGCTCCCCTCAGGCAGAAGTCCTCTCCCTGCAAGAGAGTCCTCAGTGCTTGCACACTTGACGAGTGGCTACGGTGCCCCACACCGCAGCAGGGAAGAGGGATTTTGCTAAGTTTGAGCTGGGCTATGAACAGAATTTTGAAAAGCATTGAGTGGGGATGTTGAGCACACTGTGGATCTATGTCTCTGCCCCACTACCACCAATTGTGCATCAATTTCTAATTTCTTACTTGGACATTGTATCCAACAGAAATTGTTTATGTACACCATCAATCCTGCCTTGATTTTTCTGCTTTTCTTTTCTTTTCTTTTTTTCTTTTTTTTGTTTTGGTGTGAAAGCAAAGTTGAAGTACTTTGCAAAGGCGTGGCTGGGCTTTGAGGATTGGGGGCAGAAAAAAAATGTGTGAGAAGAAAAAAAGGAAACCAAGTTTGAAAGGTGCAGCAATCATTACACAATAGCTGTTATGTAAACCTTGAGAATAAGGGAAAGAGCATTCAAGCAAAATACTACTAGTCACTAATAACAGAATTTTACTCAAAAATTGGGCCATAACTAAGTTTCTAATGTGCTAGCATCCATTGGCCCTCATAGCTACCTATTTGTGTTCCAAATTAATGGATATCCCGGCCCATTCTTTTTTTAGTTGAATCAGTTCCCACTTTCATTGGACTCAAAAGTTAACTCTCTGCATGAATGATGTCTTTCATTTCATTATTGACAGATTCACTATTAAGCTAAATTATGTCAACTATAATTCCATTATAACTACTATAATTCCATTATAACTACTATAATTCCATTATAAACAAACAAATACACAAGATTTTTATCATATTAGTTCAAAGTTAAGGAGACTGATATTTAAGCTGATTATGCAAATGAACCAATTGAGAAAACTATCTTTTCTTGGACATGATTTATAAAATGATGGGCCAGCCTGTATGAATCTAACATCAAATATTATACATCATGAGGATGATTTATTATTGGCTATGGAATTTGTCAGTTGGAACTTGTATTGTGAAAAGGGTGACATAAAGATGTATTTTCCTATATGGAACAAGAGCTAGGTAGATTATATATCACAATAAATAATGGCCATAAACTCAGGACCAATTTCCCAGCTTTCATATCTATGTTGAGGAAAAAGAATACATTCAGCAATTGGCAGCTTTCCCAACTCCGAAAGCATCTGACTCACTTGGTCTCCATGAGCTTGCCGAAGATTGAGTTCCTGATTGGCCTCTTACTCCGGAAATGGAGTTTTTGTAAGCATTCGAGTTTATCTGGGCAGGGGTGTTTTTCGATGCTCCAGTTGTCTTCTTGTTGGGGAGGATACTATTATTTGCATTGATCTCGAAACATCGCCCGACTTCTCGATCCACTTCTCCAGCTGATTTTAGTTTGATTGGGTTCTGAACAGTAGCGTTCCCCGAAAAATCACATGCTTTTTTATCCAATCCAGCATTGATGAAGTAACGAGTCATCGCATAATTGAGCCTGGTAGCGGACGAACAAGCTGACAAAATTCCGTAAACCCCTTTGTTTGGTGATGATGAAATCAAGCCGCAGCCTTCCCCGGATCCAGGAGGGATCGAATTCCCTATAGCCTTGCAAGTGGAATCCAAAAGTTCAGACATCACCATAGGAGAAGCATCCTTCCTGACCTGACAGGAAAATGCCGCGTGATCTAAACAATTACATGCTTCTACGTTTGGTTGAGGGGGGAGGACACTAGTGATTGCGAAACTGTTGACATTTGTCGAGGCACATTTTTGTTTTGGGACCACTAAGGAGCTCAATTTGGGCATATTTGGAGGTTTGACTAAGTGGTACCGCTGGGACAGGTTCTCGAAATCTTTATTCCTTATCCATTTTCCCTCGACATTATCCACAAGACCTAAGTTTATTGTAACATACTAATAATCATCACGAAGGCAATTTCTTATGCCAGCTCCAAAAGTATCAACAACTGCTTACCATATCCATGTGCTGTGGGGTAATAGTTATACGCAACCCCGCCTGACCACAAGTCGGACATTAATGTTGAAAAGAGAGCGGTAACTTCAACCCAACCTCGTGGTTTTCCTGGGTTGAGGCATCCGAACTCCGACAAGAATGCAGCAATTGTCAACCCTTGAAACTCAAGGGTAAGCTCTTCATGTGTCGATTCGAAATTACTATCACCACACCATCTATAATTATTCACGCCTAACGTGTTTAGAATGGAGTGGTTCATTGCTTAGTAAAGGAATGCAGGACTTGGGAGAAAAAGTGAATATGAAAGTATTCTCACCAAATAAATCGAGTTCCGCTGATGGACCTCCAGAATTACACGAAAGAAATCTGGCAAGTTCTGCTGAGAGCTTTTTTCCATCTGCTGAGGCGTAAGATACTAATGCTGTCGAGTTGACGGATTTTAGGTACAACTTCACATCTCTAGCACGTGCTTTGATGTAAGGCCCCGCCTCTAAATGTTCCTGATATATGTACAAATCCAAAATCCTCCCAAAATGAGCCACAAAATTCGGGATTATTTTTGAGTGAATTGTTTTTGCGACATACACTGTTTGTGATAACCTCATTCCCGATGTTGAAGGCCAAAAGATTAGGAAAACTTCGAAGGGAATCAATGCGATGTATATATTGTGTCAGAATGTCAACATCCCAAGTATGCGAAGCTTTGTTGATGGAACCACTCAAAGGAGGGTTGATGTCCGCAATAACATATATTCCAGATTTTTCCAAAGCATTCATGCAAGCGGAATGATCTATCTCGGGATAGTAAGAATAAACCCTTATTGTGTTAATCTTCAACTAGATAAGCAAATATGGCTTCAGTATGTTTTAATCGAACGGCTATGTAACAATGAGGAGCAGAAAATAACTCACTCTTTTGAAATTTTTTATGGCATGATTACAGGCGTTGATGTCGGCCAAAGGATCTAGTTTCCCAATCGGACAATTTTGGCCATGGGAATGAATATACATCTTCAAGTCTTGAATAAAAAGCGTTCTAGCAGAAAGTGAATTTACCAATCAAGTCGGCTCGGTTGAGCCCGCCACGGTTTACATTTGGGAGCTTTGGAGCCTCGAAGGCCACTCCTTTGATATAAAAACGATTTCCATTCGCATCGTACAGGTACCTACCTACCCGGGTTATACGTGGGGTGCCAACTGATGAGTATGCGAGTTGAACTAATGCTAGAAGCAAGGCACTACCAATTGCCCAATTCTGACAGTTCATTCCGGGATATTGAATTTTGCCTATGTTCAGAGCTGAGCAGTCCTTGCCGGCGGTGTTGTTCTTGGGCTGGTCCTTAAGCCAGCTGCTTCATCACAGTCTCGGAGCTTTGAAAAGGCGATCGCATAAATTATTCACGTAATCCGTTTCTAAAAGGTTTGCCGCAATTGAGCCACACTACACGCGTTTCTTTCGAGGAATTATGGACATTAAACTGGTAAGTGGGCAAAGTGGAGCAGGAAATGATGAGACAGCTGGGTTGGTGGCGAGTGATGCAGAAAACTTTGGTTCTACAATTGCACACTGTGTTGCCAGATAGATCCAATATACGTGGGTTTTGTATCCACACTCGAGCATTAGCACCGCAACATAATTGCTGAATGTAGTGCCTGGCAATAGGAAGTTAATGGTAACCTAAGTCGGTTGTCACATCTCGAGAAAACCTCAACTGCAAGCCCATGTCTAGGCCGCATCCAATAAAGCATCGAGAAGTCGAACACCTTGTATCCGATGTACCCTTCTCTTGTTTTTTGAGTGCAGAGTTATTTTTGGACCCGACAGTGTCTAGTGTTCAAAGAGGTCCATAAGGCTACTTCGTGCCAGGGAAAAGAAATGCGCTCAACTGTTGGCCGCGCAGGTGATATACCCACCCAGATATAACCAGACTGTCAAGTCAAGAACAAGAGCGTCTAGGAGTATTTATGCGAAATATGACTGCAACAAAGTCTATCATTGGCATTTCAAAAAAAGAAAAGAAAAAAAAACTCACATTTCGATTGCTCTTGCGACAGTACTTGAAAAAGGCACTTGAAAGGATTCATGATCTCGTTTCTCCGATTCCCAGTTCATTCAACTGTTATTAGTACTTCTTTATCAAGCTCGCTTTCTGAATTTTTTTGGTTGGGCCTTCTTTCTCCCTCCCCCCCCCCCCCCCCAAATGAAAGACAAAGTTGCTGAATTGGTTTAGTTCAGTAGCTTCATGTCACCTGAAAGCTACTCAACATAGATTTCTCCCGGTACCTCACCAGTCTCCAAATGAGCATGTAAAATTTACTCGCCAGAAATGTGAATTGGAAAAAAAAAATCGGCCGCTTTCCTAACCAAAAAAGGTTTTCAACACTTCACAGCTATGAATTGCCACTCCAAAGCTGTTAAAAGTGAAACTGGACTTGATTTTGAAGTTGTTGGCAAATCAAATTTATATGTTATGTGCAAGCCAGTCTTGTCCTACATACATCAATCTTTTCTCAAGGGTGTTTCTACAAAGCAACACCAATAAGATTGTTGATTTTCCCATATTTTCAGTTCTAGAGCGCAAATCAGATGCCTATGGTGCAATTTTTGTAAGCAAACATATTCAAGTACAGTCATCTTGAAACCCCCAATTCCCCAAAAATCAAGATGATAATAATAATAAAAAACCAACTCAAACAGAGGCTGAATACCTCTTTCTGGTGTCAACATCTGAAGATTGAAGCAACTTGGACAACTTTGTTTTTTTTTTTTGCCTATTTCATTCCATTTTTCCACATATTTTCTTTTTTTGTTTCTTTATGTAGCAATTCTAAGGATTTTCAAAGTGTTCTTTTTCTAACTTTTTTTTGTTTCTTTCATATGAATATCTTGACGAGTTTTCTAACTAAACATTCAAGACCTTACCAAAACAAAAAAGAACAAAAAAAGAGAGGAGAGAAGTGAGAGTGATACTGATACAGAAAACAAAGACAAAGACAAAGAAGAAAAAAAAATCCGGAATGGTTTACCCAGATCACTTGCCACCCCCCTCCTTCAAAAACAAGGCGAAATTTTGGATTGTGTTAGCAGACCAGAAAGCCCAAAGAAAGTGTATATGTGTGTGTGTGTGGAAAACTTGATCCATAAGTCTGGTGGCCGAGAGAGGCTAAGGTGTGAGGAAGAACATGGATAAGGAGGAGAGCCGAGCAGATCAAAGGGGCGGTGAAATTTGCGAAAACATGTACTCGGCTTTGTGTGGGTTAAGATGGTACTAGATTGTCTTGCTACGTATGTATGCCTCGCATATTCTTGATTGGTCATCCGGGCGATTTCTTGCTTCGTTATGTAATGTGCGGCGGACTTGATTCCTATCGAACATATGTGTGCATGTGGATCGACATTTTTAGGATACAAAAGAAAAAGCGAAAAAAAAAGAAAACCAAGTCACATCCTGGTTGATCTGTACCGCTTGGTATGGTCATGTATATTGTTTGAGGCGTGTGACAAAACAACTTTTTAAACTTGCTTGCTTGCGAAAGAACATCAAATTCATGTGAAACTTGGGGCATTGGAGACAGAATACGTGCGTGATCTAGCCATTCAGATCTCTCCGCCGAGGATTTGAAAAAAAAGGAAAAAACTCAGTAACATTTTTTTTTGGCGGGGGGGAGGGGGTTTTCTTCACAAAGGCTCTTGAGCTACAAGGTACGGACAGATAAGTGTAGTACTAAACTTGAATATCCACAAGAACGGTTTCTCTTCTCTTCTCTTCTCTTCTCTTTTTTTGTTTTGTTTTTTTTAGTGTGAATAGAGTATATTTATATAAAAAAATGAATGGATTTTTTGAATGCAATTAATTAAATATTTTTCTCTGTTCAAATCAAGAAGAAGAACGGAAGAAAAGAATGGGGAAGGAAAATGCACAATTTGAAGAACCTAATGGGGAAGAAAACCCGATAGGAAGAGGAGGAGTGGGGGGGGGGGGGGGGGATTAAAGCCCATCAGCTTTGCCTAGAGAGTTCAAGATCTGAGCGCCGTTCCAGCCCGCACGATGGGAGACAAACGGCTGTAGGGAAGGGGAATCCGAGAGGCTTGTGACGAGGGGTGGGATGGAAGGAGACGACTGGGTGGAAGGGGACTTCTTGGACTTGGAGTCGCCGATCGGCCCGAAGAGGCCCGCACATGCCGCCTTGGTGAACTCGGCCGGGAGGGCGTGGCCCGGCGAAGAGGCAGACGCCAGCTCGGAGGGTGACCCGGTCAGTTTCGGGGCACCCAACGACTTGCTGCCTGAGCTGTCCGTGTTCTCATGTGTCCCGGAGGAGACGCTCTTCTCCGAATTCACACGTCCCCGAGGAGACTCGCTGATGCGGCCTTTCTCCTTAGGCCTCAAGCTGGTTGTCTCTCTCGTCACGCTCGAATCTCGAGAAGGACCCGCCGCCGTGGCTTTGAGGCCAACAACGACTGACCAAGAGCTGCGATGGAGCGACTTCCGCAGTTTGGCCTGCTCGGCCGACTCGGCTTTCGTCTCATGGCCCGATTGCCTTATCGAGCAGGGGCCAGAGGAGGGGATAGTGGACTGGCTGTACCCGCGAGCTCGTTGCGGGCCGGCGGAGGACGTTGGGCAGGGGCGAGCGACAGAGGGGGGTCTAGCGGCAGAAAAGGTGAACGCTTTGGCAGACGGATTGAGCGTCGTACCGGTGGCGGGTGGCCTCTGTGAATGGGCTGTCGGAGGCCAGACAGTCTCCGGAGCGACATCAAAGATGGAGTTGAGGCCGCTGCCTTCAGGTGGAGAATTGCCACCCAAGCTTTGGGTGCTGTGGTGTTTCCTGAAGCTCGAAGGCCCTTCCTCCGCAATCGTCTCAGTCGGGAAGATTCCTTCACCAGTCTCTCGCCCCGCCAGTCCAATAGTGGGAATATTAGATGACTTCAGACGTCTTGAACTGGTGTTCAGGCTCAGTACGCCGCCTGTTGTTGATACTCTATTGAATCAGAATCTTTTACAAACCGAGGAAGAAGAATTGTGAATTGACGTACCGTGAACAAAATCAACTTCCGCACTGTTCGCCTCATGATGAGATCCACCAAATGTGCAATCCTCAATTGATTCGCCTGAGCTCTCTTGAAGCTCATTGAGTCTCTTGTGGATTGAATGGGAAGGGGTTCCAATGGGAGGGTAGGGTGAGGCAGGCGAGGATCGGATCGAGCAATATCCTGGCATTTGAGATAGGGAGCTCGAGCTACTAGTTCTAGAGAAGTTCTCTTGCCTTTTGCCGCCAGTGCCGACCAATAGTCCGCTGCAAATCAGGGAAGGCATGGGAGCGGAAGAGTCAGGGAAGCGGAAAGGTGATGGGTGAACGACGGGAGAAACGCGAGGAGGCGATCCTTGTTGGCCAATAGCACCGAAGGGCGATGGAGCCTGGCTGGAGACTGGCCGAGTCCACTCAGAAGTGTGGGCGATAGTGGGAGGCAGAACTTCTTGACGGTAGTTGAAAAACTCCTCTGTCAGTGGAGACGGAGGAAGTGGAGGATGAGGGGGAAACGTATCTAGCGCTCGAATGACTGGAAGGTGATCTTTCAGGGCACTTCGCTCCAGGTTGGGCAAGCTGATGAAGGTTTCACGGATTTTATTCTGTTGGAGGGTTTCTGACCAAGGATCTGGGGCCCACGCATCGTCAAGAATGTGATTGTTATGGGTGAAGTCATGAAACAACATCGGGACTACCGCATTATTATCGGATTGAGGTGTGAAAGAATCTTGGGGTGGTGGCCACATTGAGCTGGAAGTGGTAGTAGCCGAACTCTTCGAAGGTTTGCTCGCAAGGTTTTCGACTTCACTCAGGAGAGTTGGAGGTGGTGTGGAACACTGGGAAGGGTGTGGACGCACCGGCACGGATTTTCGAGCCTCTGAGTCTTGGAGGAGGATCGGGTTCCGGTCTGCGGCAGATGCTTGGTCAAGTGTGCTGTCCGGACTATTCCGCTTGCTCAGTTCACGTTTCTGGCTCAGCTCGGCCTGACGGGTGGCCAGTTTTTCCTTCAAGTCTTTCTTCTTGGCCGTTTTGACTTCATTAGCTTTGGAGAGCTGGTCTAGCTCGGTCTTGCTGTGTCTGATTGCAGTCTTCAGTCTTTCTCCTTCCTTCTTGATCTGTTGGGCATCCTTTGTAAACTTGGATTGAATCGAGGTCACTTTGTTCTGGATGGCTGCTAGATCTTCTTGTACCTTAGCAGATTGCTTAGCAAGTTTACTATGGGCCGATTTGGATTGCTTGAGCTTTTCATCTAGATTTCTTTGTTTAAACTCCTTCAGATCCTTTATCTCACTCAGATGCTTGAGGCTTGATTGATAATGGATCTTGTTGAGGTCCTCCTGACTGCGTTTGTAGTCGAGTTCTTTGAGTTGATTTTCCAGATCGTGAGACAAAGGCTTGAGGTCATTTTCGGCTCGCTGTTGAAAGCGCTCCGATGATAGTTTGGGTGAATCACTTCCAAGACCTTGACCCAAGTCTTCTTTTGAATATGTATGATAGGGCAGTGTCTGAGATGATTCAGCAGGTAGATGATTTGATGATGATGTCGGCTCTGAGCTTGCAAGCATATTGACACATGCAGGGGTATTTTTTGGGCCGGAAATATCAGGGATAAGTTTAGTGTTGAGCGTCAATGATACTACCATTTCGTCGGTTGGGGTGATGCGGTTTGATGATCTGGCATGTTGTCTTACGTTGCCCGGGGGTACGCCTGTGGTTGGACATGGTGTAGTAGACACTCTCGCAGGGGTACGAGGAGAAGAAGGTGCTGAAACTGGTTGTGGAAGAGACGTGGGCCAAGCATGGAGGATGGACAACAGGCAAGGATGATCAGATAAAACCGAACACAAAGACCGGAATCATGTTGGAAATATTGAGTTCAAATAGCCAACCTTGATTGGTATAACAATCGTGCTCAGATCCTGAGGAGCTCGAGGTGAAAGAGTCTTGTGAAGGTGAGCCTAATAAAATTTGTGATCAGTTCCACTTGTTCATGAGGAGGACTACGAACGCCAATATATGCGTCGAAGTAGAGAACTTACATTCCGTAAAATGATCTAAATGGGCAGAGGTCTGGGATAGAGTATTCAGTTTTGGTGTCCGGTGAGGCTTTTTCTTTCTTTCCTTGACGAGAGCGGGAAGATCTTGGAGAGAAGAGAAGAGCTCATCCGTCGGAGGGGGCGGGAAGAGAGCAGTGCCTGGAATTTTGAGTGCCCATTGATTCCATAACAATTTCAAAGATTGAAAAGATGAGACGATCGAGAGTGAATGTAGAGCAGGTGAGATGTGGCGTTGGAGGGAGAACCAGGTATCAAAGCATCCCAGAAACCATTCCAGTTGTGGGTAGCCGTCTGCAGCGAGCGGGTTGGAGGAAATATTATAGACTGAGTGTTGAGAGTGATCGATCGAGATGAGTGTACAGAGCAAGAGGTTGTGCCGGTTGTAATGGGACGTGCGCAAAGAAAATGATAGTTTGGAGGCAGAAGTTAACGGGGTTCGACTAGACAGATTTTTCGAATTCCGCTGGCCTGGGCTCTGTTTTGGAGTGTTCTGTTGGGTTTTATTCTTGGCCCTGACAGGGGAAGTAGGATTTTGGTGGTTGTGGCAGTTGTCGATCTGCTGGAGAGAGTTCTGTTGGGTAGAAATTGGGAGCTGATCCAGGAAGCGCTTGAAAGATTTTTCCGAAGGGTTGGTATAATGTGCTAAAAGGAGGGCGTCACCAACAACAGTTGAAATTAGCTTGCAATACTCAAGATGAGTTCGGAGTATACGTGGTGGATGTAGAGTGTTTTTTTCTTTTTTTTCGTGTTGAGATATGTAATGTGTATCTTGGACCCTAAAAGATGTGATCCAATCTGAGGTCGCTCGCTCACATGCTGCAGGGTAATATTAGAAATCTTTGACTCACCAAGGCCGAAGATAGCAAGACAGATGAACCAGCCCAAGCATAGTGAATCTGAGGAAGGAAGGAAAGACATGTGGCCAATTAATCGATCCATCATTCCTCACAGTGTCTCTGTGGTAGGATATAGAATGGCCAGTCGAGTTTATATGGGATACGTTGCTGCAATTTTCTCGACGAAAATTTGCCTGTCTATATACTTATTTTTTTTTCTTTGACTTTGGACAATTTGAAGGAATTTGGGCAGGTAAACCAGTGCTTTTGAATGCGAAGAATGAAGTCAAGTGTGGGTGTGGCGTTGGTGGACTGCGGCGGGTAGATCGAATGGAATCGCCGAACTCGCTTGCAACCGGTATGAGTATACAGTCTAGCCGATTTGAGCCTTTGAAGTAAAACGCGGTCCTCGGGTTGGGCAGGAGGATGGACTGGGTGAGTATAAGGGTTTGTTGCAGTGCGTCGTTGGAGGCGGATGGAAAGTTTGACGACGGATCAGACCACTTGGGATCCTCAAGAAATCTTTGACGAGACAGCTGTTCCGTGCGACGGGCAACGAAGAGTAATTCAAGAGTCGACGATACTTGATCGAATTTGGATGACCGTCTTCTGTTGGTGGAAGAAGGGCCATGAGAAAGAGGGCAAGACTTGTTGGTGGCAGGCGACAGCCAATCATTTCAATACGTCAACACGTACATTTCTAGTTCAGTCTTTGACGGATCGCTCGGCCACGTGGTGATCTAATTTCAAGGGTTGAAGGTCTGTTTGCGTTTTCCGACAAAGTGGGAAACCAAGAAATGATTGAAGGGTCGAATGAGATCTACATTCATGGAAAGAGATTTTGATGGGAACAAGATGACGGCGTAAATATTTCAAGAGGTTTTTTTAAGATATCTCTAGGCCGTAGAATTCAAAGCTAGAAATAGATTCATAAAGTAAATGGTTGTGAGACGCCGGGCAACCCAACTCTGAGAAACAAAACCAAAAAAAAAAAAATGGGGGCAAGGAGTCTTCTCGAGGGAGGGGATAATACCCGATACTTGCGCAAGTTAAGAAAAGATAGATATGGAACAAGGGCGGCGCTTCGAGGTTTGGACATGCTTGTTAGCAGCTAGCTGACTGTTATCGGTTCAAGTGTAACCTTAGATTACGCATGGGAGGATAGGCAAGCCATGTTGCTAGTTTCTCATCTTTTCTTGCACGCCCTTCTGATAGGAGCGAGTCCAGTATAATACATTTGAGCAAGCATCACTAGTCCATACAAGCTCACATAGGACTTGCCCACACCAAAGTACTGATGATGATGGGTGGCTGTTGATTGGATAAATATTCATCAAAACGGCACTCGAAAAGTGGATCATTTTTACAGCAAAGCCATCAATTCTAGCCTGCACCATTCCATTTCCATATATCTCGCGTGATAAGAGGTGGCGAGCCAATTGGTGCATAAGACTTAGCGAGCTCGGATAGTGGGCTTGCATTTAGAGCTGGCAAATCCATTTGCTAGAAAATTGGATCTGCCCAAAAAATTTTTCGGTTCATGGTGCTCTTACGTGGGATAGATAGTGCCTATCGAGATGCTTAAGAGCTGATCACGTGGTGGAGATTGACACAAGGTGAGACCATGCAGGATGGGGTTGGGCAGCGGGGGGTTTGGAGAGCATGTGTGTTTACTGATGGCAAAATGGAAGGAAGGAAGAAAGCAGTTGTAAATATTTGTGTTGTGTACTGACCACGGATCCCGCTTGCAGCTGAGCAAGTGAAGATTGAAGTTGAGGTGTTTGATGAAGACGACGACAGATCCGACAGGTGCCCAGGGAGGATGAGAGCGGGGAGTTGAGGAACGAGAAGAGACCCAAGCAGACAGCGTTGGGTATATACAGATAAAGATAGTCAAAATAAAAACGATCCAACTGTTGCTGACGATGGTTGTCAGTGGTGCTGAAGCTCGAGAGATGATGTCCTTGTGTTGGAGGAGATTCCCTAGACGATCGCTGCCGAGAGCAGCAGATTTCGGAATGGTGAAGCCGGTGCTGCCGAGATGTCCCGCGTTGGTGACTGGAAGCTAAAAAAGGGTGTGCTGACGACGCTGGTTGGGCTTGGATTCGACAGAGAGAAATCACGAGCGAGACATAACTGGGAGGTGGTATATGTTACTTGATGGCTTGGATGGTGGAAGAAAGATAATGACAAGAACAAACCGAATATATATGAACCAGAAAGCAAGTGGAGATGCTGACGGAGATGATGATGATGATGATGAAGTCACTGAGGATGTGGGCTTTGAGGAATCTATGGAAAAGACGCCGACAGACTCGGTTTGTAGGGAAGGCGCTGGGTTTATAGGGCAACTATAACCTAGTCCACACCACCATCCTCAATATAAACCAAAGTTGTAGGGACGGGTTACCACTTATTACACCAGATTATTCAGATGCTTCTGGCCATTCTTCAGACTCCGCTGTTATTATTGTAAGCGGGTACGCAGATTCGACTGCTGTAGTAGGAGACTAGAAAATAGATAGGTGCTTGTATCAACACATAAATCGGAATACAGCAACCCAGTATTCCCTGTATGGGCTGTAGGACTCTGCTATATCAACTGGAACCCCGATCCATTTCACCTCGAACCAACGAAAACTGAAGAACAGCGCCAACCCATGAACAAGATAATACATACAAGTGTAGAAAGAGAGAGATACACATACCAAGGCCTCATCACAAGCCGAGCAAGGACCTGAGACAAGTCTGGAGGCTACATAACCCGAACGGCGCTGGGGATACGAGACGCTATAGCCATCTCCGTTGAAAACGAGCCAGGAGCCACAGTGTATGTTCAGTTCGCGACGCCCAATACAAGCACCATCCCAGCCTGAAACGACGACCTTAAACGCTGAGATCAAACACGTCACTGGAGCTCACTCCACTCTCTAAACAACCAAGCCCACGACTGTTGTCGTTGCAACTTCAAGTCTTCACGGGTCAAGAGGAAGTGCATATTCAACACCTCGGTTATCATCCTCTCACAAGCCTGAGCAGCGGTGTATGTATAAACATCCTCGACCAGCTTGATCACCCCGCTTTGTCCCGACAGTTATTGGGGCGGTCCATGGGCTTGCTCACAATCATCCACACACTGATGTCCAGAGCAACTGGACTGCGTGGAGCTGGTCCATAAAACCCCGAGAGAATTATATGCCCGCCCCGCAATACGCAGGCCTCACAATGTCTGGCCGGGGCCATCACAGCTATCAGAAAAGCTTGGCGGTACACCTGTGTACGCTTTCTGGACTCAGAGCGGCGCCCAACTTGAGAGCCTCCGAGCCAAGTCACCAACTTTATCCCATGGGGTCTACTTGGTCTAGGGTCATCCGGTAGGGACGTGCCCGATCTGCCCAAACGCGCAGTCATCCGAGTTTTTTTTTTTTGTTCTGGGGTTGAGGAACCTCATCAAACAGCCTCTTGTCAGCTTTTGTAAAACGCTTTGTATTGACAGGTATCTCAAATTCATGGCACATAACATTTTCTGCGGTGTTAATTCTCCATGGGCCACATTACTGGTTTCCTGGCTCACTTGGTGCAACGTGCTTCCTGTGGGATAGGACAATGGTCAAGGAAAAGTGCACAAGCTCAAAACTAAACTGCAAATGAAACTAAAATGATCAGTGCAGGATGACAAGCCTTAGCATGGCTATGTACCCAAATCATTGCTGGCCCATTGTACTTTCCTTTCAATCAATGAAAGCCCTATTACTTCCACTCAGAAACCCAATCTTAATCATAGTGAAGTTGTTGGAACATTTTAGCTGTGTTCAGGTGACAAGACTTGGGGGGGGGGGTTTCTGAACCCAATTCTTTCTTGCAGAAGGAGTGTTAAGAGTTCATTGGGTTCTGCCTTCATCTCATATTTCCAGCCAGTTGCTTGCAGTCTTCTCATATCAATGCATTTGGTGAGGGATTATGCAAGCAGTTATGTGCCAAACCAGTTTCACTGCTTTCAATTTCCTTTTTAGACAGTTTTTCATTTTTCTACCTCATTCTATTATTTTCTATCTTCTTATCATAAGTGTATTACTTGTACAACTCACCTTTCAAACCATCATTTATTTACAGTCTACATAGTTGAGCTTTTTTTTCTTGTACAGCCTGTAAAATTCAAGGTCAGTCCTTACAATCATACTGAATGGAAATGAACCTTGAGTCTAACACTTGAAGACTGCCTACCAAGAGTAGTACTAATGTTAACAGCTTGAGGACTGTGTTGAAGTAAAGCTATAGGGATAAAATCTTCTAACTTTGTATCACTTCAGCAGCTTTTGCCAACTGTTTCACCTCTGGCTATTGTTTTCTGTTCAGGAGGTGTATATTTGATAAGATGCTATTTGATGCTTATCCTGCAACCAAACAGCTCAAAAGTTTCAGGGCTCACTGATTAAATGTGGGGTGCTTCATCTTATAAATTGTACTTTTTCATATTATGCACCAATCATCTATGTACCTACAACAGCCAAATTTGGTGTAGAAATTTGAGAAGTTTGGGTTCATCACATGTCCCATTTCATTCTTTGTGATTCATCATAGTTATTTGCTCAGGTTTCAATTTCAATCTTCCATGAACCAATATGGCAGATTTAGATAGGTAGCCCCAAGCCATTCACAAGGGTTTGGGGAATGATGTCTGTCGGGCTGTTCAGATAAGGGAGTGTTTCAACCTCCTTGGTTTCAACATCTTCGTTCAGGTAGTGTCAAATTTTTGGATTGAATCCCTTGAATATTTGGGGCCATCTGTTACAATGCTGAGGAAAGGTTGACTATGTATTGACAATTTTGATCTTGTCTACATTGTGAAATGTGTGGTCTGGAGTCTTTGCCCTCTGTTGACACTTCATTAGCGCAATTTATCTGCCAATTCAGAGGGGATTTAGACCCTCTTAGAGACATGGCAACACAAGAAATGGAAAATAGTGATTGAGACCCCAAGGTTATGGGGTTTGAACCTTGAACCCCGGAAAAAATGGGAAGTTACATATGTTACAATACCCAAACTAATTTTTGTAACATAACTTCATAGTGTCACTGGATAACAAGTTATTGTTATCCAGGAAAACCTGCCTTTTTATGTAACAAGGAGACTTTTACCCCTCATTACAGAAAAAATTAACATGGATAACACGTTTTCCACATTATCAGGGTGCCAAATTGATATCCACCCGGTTTTTTGTGGTGGATACTGTAACAGAAGTGGAACCAAAAAAAGAAGGAAAAGATAATGTAACAGCAAGGCCGCTGCAGCTATTGTAGTGCCAATGGTGCCAATCCCATCACATTATAATTAAATTAGTGTTATTTCCAATGTAAATTCCCATCATTGGACCTGGTATTTGTGGCTTGGGATGCACTTCCAACCCCAGTCCAAAACCCATGGCCATGCCTTAATACAAGTTGCTTTCAATGAGTGATCATTAGGGGGTATCAAATATAACCAAATCCACCATTAATTAATTGACTGGTTTGAAAAAATCCACCCTTTTTTAAACATGTTGGTTATCCATTTAACCTCTTTTGGGGCCCATTTATGCAAAAAAAAGTTTTTGGAAAAGTGACTGGTTTCTGATGGTGGATTTCCTATATTTGATACCCCCTATTCCAAATAATTTGTTAAACTACATTCTGTCAATTCACAGAGTAATATTTTTTCCCATCAAGTAGGTAAAATTCATACACAATTGCCCAGGATTGGATTCCAATTTCCATGGAATTTATGTGTCTTTTTTTTGTTGGTGCTCAAAATTGTTTCCCAAGATATCATCTTTGGTAAATTTTATATTTGATTTGTTAAGGAAATTGGGTGAGCCAAAAGAAAGGGAAGATGGCGCTTTTTCACCTGTTGTGGGGGGGGGGGGGGGAGCACCTTTCATAAATCACATCTCCCGTGACCAGCCATGTATGTGGAGGGTGTAAGAGCCAGAAGCTCTTTCACTATCCCTATTTGCAAGACAGGGGTCTTGGGAGAGATTCTAGAAACAAACAATCTTTCACTTCCATCAAGCTAGCTCAGAGA